CACCCAGCTAGCCTCTGCTTGCCATACCAGTTGGATTCAGGTGATCATGCCCCCGCTTGCCAGTCTCAGTCTGAACTGCCTGGCAAGCCTCTATTCACAGGCTCTGTTGGAATCAGGGCACCATGCCCTACCCGCAGGTCTCAGTTCTCACCGGGTAAGCCTCTGCTCACCATCCAGCTGGAGACAGGGGACCATGCCTTGCCCTCAGGTCTTGATTCACACCCAGCAAGCCACTGCTCTAGGTTCTGTTAGAATCAAGAGAACACGCCCTTGCTCTCAGGTCTCAGTCCCTGCCTCTGCTCACAGGCCCAGCCCTGTCTACTGACCTCAGTCCACATGGGGCAACCACTCTTCCACTATGAGTGCTGTCAGAGCTGGGGATTCTGCACCCCATCCCACCAGACACAGCCTGAACCGAAGGTCAGCACCACCACTGGCCCAGCATAGTCACAACCAGGGGACTGCTCCTCCTCCTGCTGAGTATCCCTGTCTTCCCACACCCTCTTTCTTCCCTATTAGTCACAGATTCTGTCCCCATGGTTGGCGGTCACAGTATGCCCAGATCGCTCAGGAAAAGACCAAATACTCTGGGCTCTGCAGGGGGTAGAACTTCAGCCTGCCACACTAGAGGTAGAAGGGTAGAATGGGAGTTTGGACTTGTGGGGGAAAGTATTTGTTCAATTTTATGCCTAGTGGGGTAGTGTCTAGGTTCATAGGTGGGACCTCCCTAGAGAAAGAGAACTGGTGTTTAGCAGCTCTCCCCAGGTGCTTAGCAGCTCTCTCTCGCTGCTCACTTGCAGATAGCCTGCTTCGGGCCTCCTGCTTGGGGGAGGGGTCTCCTATCCTGTAGTGGATAGGTTTTGTATCTGTAATTTGTTTTATTGAATGCTCTTCCTTGGAGTTACAGCTTGCTGAACTGCTTTCTTGACTCAGCTCCCCACCTTTGGCTTCATAGAGTCCGATTCCATCCAGTTTTTCTCCTTCTGGTTAGGATCCTCTGCTGAGGGTTGCTACCAGTCAGCCATCTTCCCAGAATTCCTGGCCCATTCTTTAAAAGGCCATGATCTCTGAAAAAAATATAAGACAAGCTACGGTCTCTTTTCTCCAGAGGGGAAGTTGGAAACTTCAGGAGCTTTTCCTTTGCCTTCACAACTGGGCTGACTGGTGCAAGCAGCTGTCTTCTAACCTGTTGGCCTATCTCAGCTTTGAATGTGCCTTCCTCACTGAGCTTAGTCATTTCTAGCTTCTGATTTACAGTAAGAGACATGATTCTTCATTAACTCTTGGAGATTATTTTGGGGTTATTCATTACCCTGGTTTCAGTTTTATTGTGTGCCAGAGAATAGGGAGGCCCAAGGTGTGAGAGCAGCTGGTTCATGGAGCAGTCAGAGCACACCAGGCCTGAGTAAGTTCACTGTCCCATGTGATGCAGCTCACGGTGCCCCAGACCAGTTACAGTCACAACACCAAAGGTCACTGACCACAGACCACCATAAACAGATACAGTAATATCAGAGAAGTTTGAAAAACTGAGAATTACCAAAATGCCACACAGAGCCAGAAAGTAAGTGCGTACTGTTGGAAAGTGGTCCCTACAGGCTTGCTCAGGGCGGGATTGCCACAGACCTTCAGTTTGTAAAATCATCTTATTTGTGAATTTTAATAAAGTAGAGCACAATAAAATGAGGTATACCTGTAATGGTCTCCACAGAACCATACCAACATTGCTAAGTGCCATTAAAGATTTCTTTGCCTTTCTCTTTCTCTTTAGTATTTCTCCAGGGATATATACCAAAAATTCCATTTAAACTTAGTGAAGCAATTATTTTCTTAGAAAGTGTAGTTCATTTCTATCAGTTTGTTTTCAGTACTTAGGATTTGATCATTTTGTTTTTATGTTTTGTTTCAGTTTAATTTTTGATTATGTAAAACATTTACACAGCTCCATCATATGCAAGA